GAGCAGTGGAACACTTGTTTGATCCCCAGGGAGGTGAGGCACTCACTCAATCTCTTTTGATCTTCCATTTCTTCAGACTTCTTTCTTAACACGTTGAAAACAGATTCATATCTCTCCTTTCCAATCATCTTCGCCAGAAGCTCCCCAACGCCGTTGAAGACATCGATGCACTTCCCAATTTGTTCTGCAGGCATTTCTCCGTTGTCACACCACTCAATAAGTTGCATGATGTTCTCTTCGTCCTGTCGGAAAGCTGTGATTGCGTCTGAAGCGTTCTTGCTCAAGAACAGTTTAAATGTGTCTGTCAGGAAGGTAAGAAAGTAGTTGATGAACACATTCCGGGCATTGACAAAGATTTCACGAAAACCTGACTGATCTGATGTCTTCTTTCCGCAGTAGTCGCGAATGACTCTGAGAAAAGTAAAGAAACAAACATCCTTAAAGATGTTTCGTCCTAAAAGAGATCGCTTTGCCAGTTCCAATGCATTATCTGTGAGCTGATGTTTACTCAGCATCAATGATTGAAATATTTGTTCAGCTCTACGCAGGGTGAAACGCCCTCTAAGAAGTGCTAATATTATGAGGGTGCTCTTTTCCTTTTCATTAAGTCTGCCAAAGCAAATATCAAGGCACACGTTAATCTTTTTTTCTTTCGGGACGGACTGGATCTTTCTTAAGAACTCAAATGCATCGCTCGGTTGTGCGCAGCTCATACGTGCCACGAGATCAAGCAGGTCGGAGTGTGACATGGCTAAGGTGTACAGAACGAGGGGAATGCCGCTGCAAATCTGTGATAGCTGGTACGCGAGCTGCTGGTCAACCACCCTTTCTATACAAACTCTTTGCAAAAGCTGAAATGATTCTTCTGGTTTAAAGCAATCCAGATGAACCTTTTGCTGCCCTAGGTCCGGAAACACAATTTTCTCTGATGAAGTGACCAGTAACTTGACTTTTCTTGAAATCATCACAGTTTCAGTGATAAAATTCATGATCTTCGATTCTTCGCATGGTGGGGTCATCCTCCCTTGTGCCACTGCTCCTTCATGGGGAGTTTCTTGCCCAATGTCGCCCAAATACAGCAGAAATTCGAAGTTGTCCAGCAGCAACACAGTGTAGAAAGCTTGGCTTTTCAGGCGATTTTTCAGCTCTGATATCGGCTTGTCGACAGGACAAGGGTAAACTTGTTGAAGAGCCTTTTCTGCGAAATCGTCCAGAGAATTTATATATCTGCAATTGACATAAACAACCACGGTGCAACTGTCGGAGTCCAATCGGTCGTTTGCTACCTTGATAGCTGTGCTTGTTTTACCCACACCAGTAACGCCATGTACGAGAACACATCTGCAATCGTGTGTTGGACAGAGGTATCTGCTAATGGCGTTGCATTCCTGGACACGACTGACAAAATGAGGTATTGTTTGAGGGAGATGGGAGAAATCTCTGCAGGCTCCTGTGAGACAAATGTTTCTTCGTTAATCACCAACTTATGTAGATAAAATATCCTCTAGAGAGAGCATCTAATAGGAGCGAGAATCCGCCAACTAATGAACACAAACTATCAATATTGTAAACTATGTTGACCAACAAGTGGACACAATTTGCGTTTGTCAGCAGTTGTTAGCTGTTCGTTCTGTTCTTCTGAGATTTATATAGGTAGATGTGACAAAATTTATTGACGTGGCACACTTTGCGGCACTGTTTGTGCCCCTGCAACGTCGAAGATGAAACTAGGTCTATACTTTATTGTTGGAAATAGTCATCGATTAGTTATCGTTTTTTCAGTGAATAATACAAATACAATACTGAATCTCCGACAGTCACAGTTAGAGCATTAATTATACAATTTATGAACTCCATTGATTATTTTATTAGCACACCGTTAGTGCAGTGCTTATCCTCCTGTTTTGATAGGCGAGACAAACTACTTTCAATCTTTTGATTATATTTTTGTTGTTCTTGTTATTTATTTGTTTGTAAGTTTACGATCATAGCCATTTTAAAATGCTTTACGCTTTACGCTACAATGCGGAAACAATTTATGAATATATGCAAATAAAGCCTGTTGTTGTTGAGTCTGATATAAAATTTCAAATTACCTGCACTAGTTTCCGATACTGGTAATGAGACTATGAAACCTGTATATTGATCAAGCAAAGAACAATACTAGTCAATACAAATGACTGAGTCATGAAAGAGCTATTTCGTCACAATTCTTTCCCAACAACATTAATTTTCCATCTAATCATTCCCCATTTTTACATTCTCGAATTTTCATTCCCATGCTTTTCTATTCCCATGCTTTTACGTTCTCCCACCATTTCGTTGTAGCAGCAATTGCAATCAACTTTCTCAGGAAAAAGGGTGAAGAAAAGACCGTGAGACTCAATTTAACATTAAAAATTCAAAATACCTGGACTGGTTGTTTCCAGTTCACCAGCACTCTTTGGTTGATCTGAAAGACCTGGAAGGGAAGGTTAAGTATTTGTTATTTAAGGTGACCGAACACAGTTTTCGCGCGCGTTCTCACTAATGCGATTCAGCGCGCGCACAAGGATTACAAAAACCAAACATGGCGTCGATACAGCGATCATTCTAATTGCTCAATGCCCGCGCTAACTCTGGACACAGTGTATTGATGGTTTTAGTCTTTTATTAGAGAGGTATGTTAGAAAAGGTAACAATGCAAAGAACCCAACAATTCTTAGATTTACTTTTGTTACCGAAAGAGCCCAGTTAAGTGCAGCGCATGCGTAATAAGTCAACAATTGTGATTGACTGCGGAATAGCTTTCTCGGAATTACGCCTATTTCTCGAGAACCACTCTTTAGAATTTCACGACACTCGGCACGAAAATACTTTAGGAAACGAGTAACTGGAGTAATGAAAAAATGAACCTTAACAGACGAAATTCTAGATATTCCAGTGAACCTTAAACAAGGAATAATCATACGCGTACGGGCACCCTCGGACTGTCTGCCGGGGGCGGGGGNGGGGCGATGACCTTTTTACCCGAAAAAATTACCCAACGCCCGAATGCGTAAGTGTTAAAATCGGGATGCAAACGCACTCAAATTGGGAGAAAAACAAAAACGTTCACAAAGATAGTTCTATTGAAAGCTTGCATACTCAATGACCTCTCTATCAACAGTCTCCATCGAGTAAAATCTAAAACTTATTAAGAGAAAAAGTCCTTCTATTCATGGCGTTCGTTCAGCGATGGGCTGATCAGAAACACTGACATTTGCGTTTGAAGATGGACCGTTTGAGCGTGTTACAGAAGCAATCATATATTCGAGACGAACGTCTCTACATACACGAGACGTTCAAAGAACAACATGAGGCATTGCAAGAAGTCGTTCGTGATAGTCTTGGCCACAGCAGACTTGCAGCGTGCACTGCACGCCTTCTATGAATTCAAAAGCCACGTAAATAAGATGGTTAACAACATGGACGTACTAGAGGAACACCTCCAAAGAAAAATTCAAGAAAGAAATTAAAACACCGTATTGTTAAGACATTCCAAACGGCTCTTTCAGAGCCACCACAAGAAAAAAAGTCTTGGTCCTCGTTCGCTTTGATTCGTGTCCTTGTTTTGTTGATGGAAAATTGGGAAAGGAAATAATATCCTTATTAAGGATTTCCACGATACACATTAAGCCAACTTGTAGCTAACAGAAAACCCCAGGTCCCTCATAACATTTCAGTTTAAGTCCTTTTATTGCAAGGCAAATGTCAGAGAAAAGTAGCTTACAAGCCTTAAAATCTAAAAGCAAAGGCCGAAAACGCTGTCCCGTTTCGTCCCGACTGACTACCACGGCGTCTTCGGTGCGCCAACGATACTTAAGATCAGCAGCAGATACAAATGGTACACTTTATACGGTACGCACACGGTACTACTTCAGGGACCAAACACTGAAGAAACCACTTGGCGGCCTAAAGATACCCAATCGGGTGTCTAACCACACAGAACTTCATAAAAGTAGAAACTCTTTATGCGAGTTTTGAAAATCACATCAACAGCATTATTTTGTAATGTTTTCTCTTAAGTGTCGTTGCCCGAATCATGGAACGATATTAACAATTAGATTATGAGCTCAAGATTTCTATGAGGTGATAGTTGATGAGGCCGAAGGCCGAATCAACTATATCGTTGATGCCCTTCTTTTAGTCTTCTCAGAAATTTAATTATCCATTTACATCTAAACTTTCTTCCAAAACTTCAGGAAAACGATGAAAACGTTGCATTTTATGGACGACTGACAGTCACTGCGCTCTAATGGCTGATAGTATACGAGTAGCTCAGCCAATCAGATGGCAGCATTTGCATTAGTATACTAGTAGAATTCCACTAATAAAATAGTGTTAACTTGTGAGCATTGTTACATGCTTGTTGCATGTAAATTATAAAGAGAATTTAATAACTAGATTTCTGCAAATAAACCAACCCGATTTTAAAGCCCTGTTAATATTTCATGCTTCCATGGCAACGTCAGACACGCCAGCTTAACTATCAAAAAACAGAAGATTGTGTTGTTAACAAGCGTGTTGCCATTTTTGGCGACCAAAGGATCAAGAGTTTTAGCGAAAAAAGGTAAATGAAACACAGGAATCAAAAAACTGTGTTCAGCCACCGAAGTGAACATTGGTAAATATTCACTGAGCCTGAGGCGAATAATTGTTTTAGTACAATTTTCAGAGGTGAATATCAAGGACTTCAAAATAACGGACTAAAGCATGAAAACACAAACGCAATTGTTCGTTTGCATACACGTATGCAGCCGTAGTTTTAACAATAGGGAGTTTACGAATCGATGACTTCTTTCACGACGACGATGTCTGTACAGCGGAAAGCCCTACTACGCATGCGCAAAAGGGTGTTGCGCAAGATTGAGCATCGTCGCGTGGCCAGCGACGACGGCAACCAGAGTGTTTTCAAGTTGTCGTCAGAGTTTTGCGACTTAGGTTTGTTGTGACCTTTTTCTGTGCCATTTTACGTCTAAGGTAGATTATTGCTTTTTGAAGTCTGAGTTTTCTTTTCTTTTTTTTTTTTTTCTAACAGTTGAAGACGCTGGAAATGGCTTTGGCTACGGCAACAAGTACAAGGTTATGATAACTATGGGTTTTTTTGGTTATTCATCTCTTTATTGAGGTTTCCCAGCATATCAAGTGTAATTGCATGAACGAAATGAAAATTGGGGTGGCATTTTCAGCTTTCTTTTGGGGCCTAATAACGGTAAATAGCCCGAGTGAAGTAATGTATCCAAGCTCAACTTCACACCATGTCTACATGTGCAGTTTTTATAAATTATTCCCGCAGCTATCGGTCAAATAAGGCAAAGGTATGTATTTGAACGATGATATGCACAGCTTTTCAACTGCAGTTATTTTGTTTTGACGTCAGCAGACACTTTACTTAACTTATTTAATTCAGACCGAATTTAGATATCCTAAAACCAGTTAAAAGAAATTCCAGACTCTTAAGTCTTGCCTACATCTTCATTATTTAAGCCATTTCACTGCAAAAGCTTAATCTTAAATTTGTACAGTTGCAGTCAATGTTAATGTAGTGAATATTCCGTTGTACTTGTAAACAAAAGAAATCCAAACTACAGTATTACTTCACAATTTTGTTAGGCCAAAGAGAGGGCTCTTTCCAGCAAATTTATTGTTTACACTTGCTTGTGGACAAGAAACTGTTTATATATGCTGTGCTAAATTAAAGCAAATTTGATCTATTCCAGAGCTGATTTGCCTTTTTAAATGATGTAGGACAAGTTTATGACATTGGTACATCTCACGAATGTAACTCGTTTTGTTAAAGAAATTCTCAGATGAAATGGAGTGTAGAGCATGGAGAGCATGATGTAATGCTGGAAAGGGAAATAATGTTGTTCGAATTATGGAAATATAAGGAAGGGAGCGGGCCAGTGCCTAGATCGAATTACTGAGAGTCTTAATCATTTGAAAAAGCCGTCCTTTAGCGTGTCTCAAACGTCTGTGGGATTTTAAAAAGAAGGAAAGATCTGAGAAAAATACTTCTGGGATTTCTCCAGGAAAGACAGAACTCGATCAAAAAATGGAAGATTACTTGGAACAAAAAGAAGATCAGGAGGGGGCGTCAGAGAAGGCCTCAGAAGAACCTCGGGATAAGGCGGCAAAGGACAAGGACACGAGAAATAAGGCAATGGAACATGTGGAACGTCGATCAGAAACAAAGAAAAGAGCTGGCTCTGATCTGCCAAAAAAGAAAAGGATACACCATGGAAACGACCCTCTTAAATACTTGAGAGAGGCATCAGATAGATATTGCGAACTGAAAAAGCAAGAGCTTGAATTTAGAATGGCACAGGAGAAAAGTGCAGCAGCCAACAAACCCTTATATGCTTCAGCAAATGACTGAAGAATCAGCAAGAGCAATTTCAAACGATGCTTCAGATGTTCATGCAACATGCCCTGTTAAACTTTTGAAGAAGAGAAATTGATGTTATGTTGGACTAATTTAGTCAGGAGTTTTTATGGGCGTAGTTAAGTTCATGGTTACATGGTTACATTTTTTAGTAATGGGATACCCCTTTCTCCATATGGATAATCCCTATTTACTATTTAATGAAAAGTTAAAACAAAATTCTTCTTTTAATGCTGTTGAGTTCCACATTGATACAAAAATAACAGAAGTTGAAACTATATGATTAAATGAAATAATTATCTAGGAGCGGTGGATTGATGCCAAAGTACTCGGAGCTAGTAGACTGGTACAAAGTAGTATGAGCGTTCTGAATCAAGGCACAATCTATGTACATTTTCCCCACTGCACTTAAACCAATTTTACCCATTCAACAGCAGTACGTGCAGCATTCATGGCTGTATTGTAGTCTTTTTCATCTTGGGTTAGAGCTGTACCCCTTAAAGGTCCTTGCACGTGCGCACGCAGGGCGGGGGAGGGGGTCTGTTGTAGAGAACTCTTTGATTGACACCTGGCCGAACAGTTCCGTCGATGAAACCCCAACAATTGTCTAATGCTGCGCGTGACTGATGTACAGCATCAGCATATAGCGTAAGGTTTGCTAAAGAAAGCAGGTTATGATTGTAGGCAGTCAGCGAGTGATTCCATCGATTGCAAATCCAGTCAATCATGTGATTTGTTATAATGCCGATCTCTGGGACTGGTATTGCAAAGTGAAAAACCATATCATTATACCGGCGAGGATATAAAAATCTTTTTAGGTAAATACAGAAAGTAGGAATCGATTCGACAACCAAACCATTCTACCTACCTCACGAACTCATCTGGTAACTGAAGTGCATCTGCAAATTTTTATATGTCATTTTTATAGAAGCGAAATTTGGCGTTGCATTCAGCATTTGTCAACTCGTCTAACTCAAATCTTTCATAATCCCAATACCGTACGGAAAATCGGGTTTTTTGACCTATTAGCATCATACAACAAGACAATCTCTCTGTGATTGATAAATACTTTTCTTTATCATATGACCCGTACGGCCCCGCGCGCAATTTCCGTGGAAAACCATAAGAAAAAAGGTCCCGTATGAGGGCCGTACGCGTCGAAGTGATAGGGCCGGAAAAACACGT